GCATCCCACCCCGCCGTGCAGATGCAGGGCACCGTGAGGCTGTGGGTGTCGGTGCTGACTTTCGCCCTGTCGCTGCTGGTCTGCCTGGGGACGCTGGCAGAGGCGTACCCCTCCAAACCGGACAGCCCCGGCGAGGACGCCCCCGCAGAAGACATGGCCAGATACTACTCGGCGCTGAGGCACTACATCAACCTCATCACCAGGCAGAGGTAGGCACAGCGGCCCTGCCAGCGGCCCCCTTTCCTGATCCCTGGGCTACCTTTTTCCCTTGGCAAGAATCAGGGGAAGAAAATGGGGTGCCCCCTCGCGCCTGGGTTTCTTGCCTTGCTTCCCCCGCTGCTACAGACAGACAGATAGGGTGACAGCCCTGCACCCTGGTTTCTCCTCTGGGTTCGGAGCTGGATTTCCACCAAGTTGGCAGGAGGGGAAGGGGTGACAATGCTGCCTCTGTTCTGCTTTCTAGACCTGGCACAGGCAGCCTTGCGGGCAGAAACCCGAAGTGCAGGGCAGTGGGCAGAGGGGGACAGGGAGAACCCCCCCAGAAAGGGAGCTAGAGAGAGGGCAGTAGGAGCAGTTTCCCACTTTTGTTGCTGCCACTGACTCTAGTGAAGATTTTGATGTGAAAAAGTGCCCCTCTGGCTTTGCTGAGTAGTTGTAGTAGTCCAGATGCTTTGTGGTTTACCAGCTACTTAATGCAGCTGCGTGTGACAAAAAACCCACTAGTCCTAACAAAAACTTTCTCCGGACCACAAACAAGAGCCCAAGCCCAAGCTGAAGGAGAAGAGAGCATAACCTGAACATGCCTGGCTCTAAACTGGCTTTCTGGGGATGACCCTGCTTTTTTAAGTAAAGGCTCAGTCTGAAAAAAAGTGCTAATTATTAACAAAAGTAATCCTTTTCTTTGGAAGCATCTGTCCAGTTTAGACTGTGTGATTAACAGAAGTTTCCCCTTGAGGTCCTCAAGCAGTGTGTGACCCCGTAGAGCTTTGACATATTTATCTATTTCTTTAATATCAAAAACAGATGAGAGGTCTAAAATTAGGCTTTCATTTGTCCCTCTAGAAGTCTGAAGAATTAAATTATAAGGGAGGTTATCATGTAACTGAGAGCTTTCCCAGCAAATGCATAATGTGGTCTGCCAGTGCACTAATAGCATAACACAGATGAAGAGGCTGATAGAAGCACAGTTTTTCTGTCCTGGACTTTTAAAGCAATATTCCCATCTTCTTCATGGGTATGGCATGCTTCCATGTGACAGCTCGTGCTTGGATCACTTTTTGTCTAGAAACCTGCTAAAATAATCCAACCCTCGAGTTCTGCCTCTTTTTCCTTGGGTGCCGTGGGATCTCCAGGCTGGTCTCTCGTGTTCTTTCTTTCCTCTCGGATTTCAGAGGTGCTTCCTGTCCAAACCCAGGTCATATCTAAAAACAAACAACCCCCAAACCAAACAGGTGAAAATTCCTTCTGTGTTCAACCCCCATTTGCTTTAATGTTGACTGTGTAGCTTTCTAACTTATTCCTGGGGTGCAAGTGCACAGCTCAGCGAGTGAGACTGTTCTCATTCTCTGTGAATCTGGGTTCTGAAATGAACCGAGATAGTTATTGTTGCAGATGGATGGAACAATGCAGAATTTAAGTTTTGTTCTTCAGGTTTCACCTAGATTTCCCACCCACCCCTTCGTATTTAAAGGGAACAAAACTGACCTGGAAGTACAAGAAAGCTGGCAGAAAAAAAACAGCAATAAAAGATGGCAATTTCATGATACACATTTTAAAGTTCGCTATATAGGTTAATTAAAAAAAACACCAAACAAGACAGATGTACTGTTACCACTGTGTATTGTATTAACAGTGCAAAAATTAAATAATTTCTGTGTCAATTTAGAAAGCTTAACTGAGCTCCTGGAGGTTCCTTTTTTTCAGCAGTGACACAGCCCCTTGCAAAGTCAGTAACTTCTGAAGCATTTTAGACTGGTCTAAAAATCATTTGGTCTGTTTCAGCAGAGGTGCTGGAGGCTTTCTGTCTTGTTTCAGACTTTTGCCACTGCCTTTTGTGCTTGGTGCTGCTCGGGAGCCCTGTGACAGGATGGAGGGGAGGGGTCTAGAGGCTCACCCTGCTCCTGAGGCTGTGTGAGCAAGTTATGCTTGGCATCTCATCAGATCTGGTGCCTGCAGCTTGATCACTGTGCAACTGGTGAGATGAAATAGTAGGAGCACGCTGAGAAAGGATGAGATTGATGCTTTGTTTCTTTTCAAGTTCATCTGTCTAGTCTTATTTGATGATTTTGTCATTATGAATAACCTTCTGGCTCATCCTCCTGTCTTCTGCTTCTGATCTAACCTAAGCATTTAAGTGTCATTCCCCTCTGAGCTACTGTGACCCACAGGGTCTTCACCCCAGCTCCTGTGAAGTTTCTTCCTTCCAGACCATCTTTCTTGTCTTCAGTCCTTGTCTGTTTGGCAGCTTTGCTCTCTCTTTTGAGATTCTTCTTCAGATCCATCTCACTTAGCTTTAGACATCTATGCCCGTCACCTTTGTACCCCTTTCAGGTTAGCTGAGGGAAACAGGTACTTCTAGGATACAAGTCACCAGGCCTGTTTCAGACTTCTAATTTTGGTGAGATCCCTTGTAACTTAGGTGCCAGGTCTTTATGAATATAAAGGGAGCCTAAGGTGACAAACATAGCTGCAGACTCCTACCCTGCAGATTTCTGTTTGTCTGTGGATCAGCCCCATCTGTCCTCAAAACCATACTGTGGTCTTTGCCTCTTACCCCTTTACTGGGACCCAGGTGGCTTTTATTCAGATCTCATCTTTCCTTGTATTACTCCTCCTTCTGCTACCTGATACTACCTGTACTCCCTCTTGCCAACAGGCCCTCTTTCCTTCATCCCTCATAGCATGCTCTTGCATCTCTCATTCTTCTGTGCTGCAGCAAAGGAGTAAGGCCATTCCTATTGGAAGTGGCTTGAACCATAGGCAGGGCAGAGGATACGAAAGTGTGTCAGAGTGAGGCAGTACTGGTGCTCCCACTTCGTGGCAACACCCGTAATGCAGAAGGGAGCAGATCTGACGAGCTTGGGATTTTTGAGCACTTCTCTAAATCAAGCCCACAAGACACTTCTGAAGTCCCAAAGCCAGCCTTGGACATCAATGGGATTTGACTCCCAAGACCTGGGTTTTCATAGGAAGATCTGAGATTTCACTGAGTCTGTAATGCTTTATCCTTAATCAAAGTAAATACATTTGATCTGTGATCGTTTTGACTTCAGCTGGAGCTGTGGATTATTAGCATGCTCAAAAAATGCCCTGAGGTCTCAAGCTGAGGATAAAACCTGACTAGGTGTTTTCACAAGTCTTGGAGTCTTTCTTTTAAAACAGCTATGACATTTGATAAAAATGTTTCCCTAACAGCAAATAAAGGCCTGGCTTTTGCTCACGTTGTCTCAGGGCTGGGTAGGGTAGACGAGGAGAAAAGCACAAAGCACCTGGAGCAAAGGTCTCCCAAGGCATTTGCTTCAGTAAGAAGAGATTGACTTTGTCCATGGCCTCATATTATTATGGCTGTAGCATGGTTGTTCTCCAGTGGCAAAAGTATGGGGCCAACAGGAGGCTCAGGCATCTGACACAGAAAGAGCAACTGCTCTTTTGCCAGCCCAGTTGGCCACAGTTGGCAATTGCTTCATGCATAGCTTGGCTCTGTGAGGACGTGGTGGGTCCATCCAGCACCACTGGTCTAGCCCAAGGTATTCAAGGGACTTACATAAAATACAGTCATCTTTGTGATTTGCCCAAATCTCTGCACTCTGGAAAATTGCTACTGATTTCTTATTCAGTCAAAACTGTCCAAGAGATCAGTGGGAGTTTTGCCCAAGTGTGAGCTGCTGGAGCAAGATGTTAGTTTGTTAAATTGATATCTTTAAAACATTAGTAAATTAGATTCCCCCTCGGTTGAAATCCAGATCACATACATATTAATTGGAAGAAGGAAAGAGAAAGAAATCCCTTTGTGGTTATGGAGTGCAAGGTATTTGATTCAGCATCATGCTTGATTGCGTTATTGTAACAGCATTTTACTGTGGCTGGTTCTGCCCAGACACCTGCTTTCAGTCAGTTTAGACTAAGAAATTTACTTTAAAATTCTGAAACTGGTGCTTTGTCTTTCTGTGGCACAGGTGATGTACTAAAATGATTCAGTCAATACACAGATACAAAAAGTTGAATAAAATGGTTAAAAAGTTAGATATGTTTCTGATTTTCTTGCCATCAAGTGGTAAGACTACACTCTTTTGAAAGACAGTTTGGTTTTTTTCCCCAAAATTTAGATCAAGCAGTTGGAGCCACATCTTGCCAGCAATGGATAAATTCTGAAGTCCTTAATTACACCTTCAATTTCTCTGGAATCAGAATTTCACTTAAGCGGCGTTCACAAGGCTGCTGTTAACATACTTTGTGATTCAGACTAATTACATACACAAGTTACAAACCATGATGCTAATTCTTTCCAACCAAGGGAGCATTTGCTTAGAGTTATCACTCTCAGGCTAATGAAACCTTATAGTGACAAAGTGTCTGTCAATTGACTGCTCATTGTTGCTTCTGTTTTTTCCGGAAAAGAGAGCAAATTTCTTCCCAAGAACCATGAATTGCAGTACTATTAACTGTTAAACAGTCTATAGTATGCAGGATTTAAGAGAAAAACAAGGAATAGAAAGTCAGCTGCTGTGTAAAATATAGAGCAAAGGTAGATGGTGATATTCGATGTAATAAAAAAACTCTGATTCAGGAAGTTTTCTCTCCCACGTTGTTCAAAAGTGATGATTTCCTGGGGGTAGCTCAGTTTTTACAACCTAATGTGCTGTGTGTTAGGCAGCCACAAGTGTATGAGCTATCATAAAAATTCTTGGCTAGTTTCTTGGATAATACAACATCTGAGTTAGTTTTCTATTCACGTAATAAAATTGACTCCTTATGGTACCAGTAGTATCAAAAACAATGCAAGCCCTAATAAGATGATGAAACTGGGTTTTCAGGCAGGAATGACATGTTTGGAGGTCACCATAATCTGTGTGTAGCTTCCTGCCCCTTCGTGCTCTCCTCAGGAAGGTGTAAGGTCCTACAGTATCCAGAACAGTCATCAAACTGAGAAATATTCAGAGTTTCTCAATAGTATCATGTAACATGATTACAGAAAATATATATTCAAAGAAATTCTGAAGAATGAACGTTTTCTCACATGGTTAAGTTAAAATACTTGCCAGAAAGTCATATTTATGTCTGCTCTATTCAGTTTTTCTGAAAAGATATGTCTAATGGTTCTGTGCTTAGTCTTCATTTTAAAAAACTGACATGTGAAAAGAGTACTCTTTTCTCTTTCCTTAGATATGGAAAGAGGTCAAGTCCAGAGACACTGATCTCAGACCTCTTGTTGAGAGAAAGCACAGAAAATATTCCTAGATCCAGGTATGTATGAAGAAATTTTGGGGTGGGTTGCACTTGTCTGTATAACTGTATAACAGTTTCATTGTTATCAATAAATACAGTTCACAGAGAGAAAACATATGCTACCCACAGCTGGGTAAATGTGTCCTGAAAAAACATTTTAAATTCCTTTTCTGTTAAGAGCTGTCACCATCTGTGAATGAAAGAAGTGCCTTACCAGAAACAATATAGTCCAAGCTCCTCATTTCCTGATTTTGGGAGCAGGTCATACCTGCTGTCTGGAGAAAGGAAAGAATTCCCACAACACTTGCCCCTTCCTGGGCTTTGCTACACAGAATTGTCGCTGAAGACAGATTAGAGCCCTCAAAACGATCTATTTCTACTAATTTGCTACTCAAACAGGTTTAAATTTTTCCTATAAATCTATGTGAGTGGTAAATATGCATAGACATTAACTTATACACAAATGCACAGCTATGACTTTAAAATGCAGTATTTCACATTGGTTTTGTACCTAATACTTTACAAATGGAAAAAAGACCTTTGTCTTTCCATTTGCACTGGGTTTAAAACAACAGTGGGGTTTCAAGCAATGATGGGATTTCAAATGTACACACTGTACTTATCTATTTAGATAATAATACTTTAGTTATAGTATGGACTACAATTTACACGACAGGAAAGTGAATATGTAGATAAACTAAGATGCAGGGGCAGTTTTGGCTCATGAAAGAAAATATTTGTTTTCATTTTACTCAGAATCAAGCATGAATGAGCTCAGTTTAAGCCTTCATTGATAGCCTAAAGTTTGCTGATGATACTTCTACTGCAGAATTAAATGTTTTATCAGCAGCCATCTCAGTAGCCTTCAAGCAAGTGCTCTGCACTTTTCATCAGGTGTGCGAAGGCTCAGTTAGACTAGTTAAATACTTCAACATAGTAGTATGTAGCACTGAACTTGAACACCAGTGAACACTGAACTGAACACCAGTGACTTGTGGTTCGATGACTAAACCACAGCTGTGGGGATGCAGTTTTCTCTGCAGATGCTTATGTAAAAACTGCATGGAGTGCAGTGAAATGTATTAAGACTATTTTGTGTTTGGTAATGATGAGGCAGAGCCTCATAATGGGAAATTTCCACTGCCATGAATTTGAGGCAACATACAGGGTAGTACAAAGCCTAATACTCTCTGTAATTTTCACCCCTTCGTAACAAAACCTTATGGTTATTATTATTGTTTCAATAATTCTATTTTTAACGCACCAGGGAGCAAAAGCTCATGAGCAAAATAACAAACTAGTCTGCATTTAATATCAAGAATTGATGAGAAACAGATTTGTATTTCATACCCCCTGTAACAGCACTTTAAACTGAGCCTGGTGTTTGTCATTCATCGATGACAATTATGGCAGTACTGGGAACAATGTGTCTAGTTTCCTATGGATATGTTTTCTAGGATAAAACACTGCATGGATTCTGAACCCCACTCTGGCTTTTTCCTCCATGTGAAGACATAATTAAATCTTCTTTCTACCTGGTCCTGTGTTTCATGGCACATCAGGAATTTAGTATCTTTAAGATATCTATACCTCTCTCTGACTTGGTTGAAATTGTCCAGAGGGCTTGAAAGCTGGTGGGGAAGTTAGGGAAGCCATGCAGGGGCAGGCAGCTCCACACACAGCACATAAGCCCAGGTACAACATAGCTGCCTTCATCCTGGAAGAAGCCAGGCTGAATGAATGAAAAGCAAACTGGTATTATTATGAGCTTAAATTAATCGAGTGTATGTTTTAGAAATAGTTATATATGCAGCCAGTTGGTTAGTTTGATTTGCCATTTAACTTTTGCTGACTAAAATATGCCCCAAAGTATTTTGCTGTCCAGATGTATGTCTGACCATATGAAGAAAGTTTAGGGAGATTCTTGTAGAAACCAGTTAATAACTAGGAAGTTAAGGAATGAAAAAAGAAGGCACCTTGACCTCAGTACAAGTTCTTATGACATGTGATGTGGCATGTTTCTTATCTTGTTGACCTTGTGGAGTCATGAGAAAGTGTTTAATACTCAATAACAGGATGTGTCTCTCCTAATACCACCTCTTCAAAAGTCAGGTATCTTGTGTGAAGTGCTTGTCTAGGCTGCCTTTTCAGTCAGTCGGAGGGACTGCTATCTCCAAAATGAACCTTCCATCCTAAAATGGGCAGGGTATCAATTGCCCTCTCAAGGTGTCAGTGTCTTTCCAGTGAAGGTGGAGGCAGACTAGATGTTTAATCTAGGCTAGATGCCCAACTTCTATATAGGAAGAATTTTGGCAAACGCATTTCCCCTGGCTTCTCTCCATGTTCTCCCACTTAGTGACTTTCTTTTGGTGTAGACAGAACAGCTGTTGGCAAGCAGAAGACCTCTGGATCAAATCTTGCTCTCAGCACCTCTTTCACCACATTTCAAACATTTGATATTGAGTAGTGGAATACCATGATAAGATTTTCAGATGGTGGCTGTGAACTTCAGTTTTGTTTGAAGGTGCTTACAGCATGATATGATTCTCTTGGGAAAGTGTTTACTTCTGAGCCAGAGTAAAAAATATATCTTAAGAAATCTTTGTGTTTCAACATATCATAGTTTTCTAGCTGAATTTTGTTAAGTGCTACTTGATGGCTTTGCACTGGATCTCAATGGTGTAAAACGTGGCTTCAGGGCAGCAGCATGGAGGGGCAAGTTCTGGTGTCAGATGATAGACTTTTGGCCATCCAGAATGCCTCTGCTTTGGTGGGAGTTGCATATCCAGTCTTCAGCTGCAAATATGTGTATGTATTCCATATTGCTGCTGTTATTAAAATGAACATTTTAGATAGTTCTAACTTCAGATTTTCAGAAGAGACTTTAAAATGTGTTTAATGTTGTCTTTTTTTTTTTTAATTCATAATGTGTGTTGCAGGTTTGAAGACCCTTCGATGTGGTGATGGAATTTTCAGCACACTATCAAAACTTTTCCTAGTTTTCAGTTCATACTCCACACCTATGAAGCAATTCATAGCATCATTCCCAGTGCATGCAGCCATTGTACTGAGTTCTGTAGAGTTTTTCCTTCATCATCTTTGTATATACCTTTATTTAAATAAATTATTTGTGCATTCCAAAATACAACATATTAAATGAAAACAAAAGTGTTGTTTTAAACTATTAAAAGTGTTTTAAGTTTTCTTTTTTTTTTTTTAATTCATAATGTGTGTTGCAGGTTTGAAGACCCTTCGATGTGGTGATGGAATTTTCAGCACACTATCAAAACTTTTCCTAGTTTTCAGTTCATACTCCACACCTATGAAGCAATTCATAGCATCATTCCCAGTGCATGCAGCCATTGTACTGAGTTCTGTAGAGTTTTTCCTTCATCATCTTTGTATATACCTTTATTTAAATAAATTATTTGTGCATTCCAAAATACAACATATTAAATGAAAACAAAAGTGTTGTTTTAAACTATTAAAACTGAATTATAACTTCTCTGCAGTCTACATTAGTATGGACAACAATACTAGCATCACAGTTATTACAGTAATTACTGTCCAGATAAGATAAAGACATTATTTGTTGTGGCCTCAAACTCAGCTCAGCCACTTGATTTATGCAAAACTGTTTAAAATGATTTATCACAGACTACATAATTTGAGAAAATAATGTTCTGAGACGCAATTTTTCAGAACCACCATACAAAAAACTTACTTAGTACTTACATTGACAAATGTATTAAAATTTACAGCATTTTCAAAATACAAAGGAGTAAGTCACTGCTTAATTCTGCTAACTCCTCAAAACTGGTTTGAACTTGGCTGTAAGCCCGAATTAGAGATTTTAAATGGAACAGATGTAATGTCTATTTGTTAGCAAAGCAGCAGAAACCTGTATATGAAGTAAATCATAAAGTAAGACAAATCTACACCTATTTGTGCCAGAAATGAGACGACTAACATTGCCTAAGGACTTACTAAGGAGAACACCGATAAAAATCACAACTCTTTGGGTACCTGCGCTCTGAGCCTCTCTTATTTGGAGTCATCCATGGTTTCAATTTCTGCCACAAGAAGGTACCTGAAACAGGGACAAGGGGAGCTGTCTTCAGGTTTCCATTTTACTTTTAAAAATTATTTTATTGTCTGAATTTCATCACTAGCTTAATGAAGGACTTTAGACACAAGGATGTCTGAAGAAAGCTTCAAGGTTTTTATTCAAAGTAACATAATACAATGGGAGCCTGTTACCCTTGTTCTTAAGTGGTTTTGTTCACTGATACATCTCTTGCAGCATGGTCAGGACTCATGCTGAGCATGGCACAAATGCTGGTCCTTGGTTCCTGATATTTAGGCACAACTTCTTTTATTTAGACACTGCGACTGAACGCTGCATAATAAAGCACATAAAAATTTCTAAATGGAAAAGAACTGGCATGAAGGTGCAATGTATTTACATCTGCTCCCCACTTTTCAACTGTTGCTATGTGGTTGTTGCCCCCATCAGAGGTGGGTCAGTGCAAGTAAGTTCCAGACTTCTATAAATGCACTTTGGGTGTGTTTGCAAAGCGTTGCCACGTAACCAGGACTGGCCAGCTCTTGTGGTCACACTGTCTTCAGTAAAGCATAACATGTTTTTCCTTTCCAAAAAACACTTGGGCGTCGTTGGAATGGGCAAATTCTGCTTTCAGCTGTGATACTTTCACTTACAGGCTTGGTGATGGGTTCCACAGTGTTACACATGCAATTGTGAGGATTAGGAACAGGTTACTATTTAAAAAATGTTTGAGGCTCCTGGTGTCGACTGTTGCCACCCAAAGCACTAAGTGATGATGCTCAGAGGGACTCCAGAATGGCCACAACATGCTGGGGCCAGCAGGAGTCCATCAGCTGCAGACCAGGACCTGCTGGGTTATAGCCCACATCAAGTTCTGCTTTGAAAAATTATTGAAATGAAAATTGGAAATTAGTGAGATACCTGCCATATAATATCTCTAATTCCTGATAATTCCTCATGCGTATATGTATAAATGACCATGCAGTTGGTAAAATCAGTAGACACTAAACTAAACTATTCCTTAGCACTATCATTGCAAATGTGCCTTAGTGGAGAAAGAAAGAGTTACAGGAGGTTTAATGTATGCTAATTGCTTGTTCTGAGCTGTTCCACTCCATTATGTGAGTTTTCTTGAACTTCAAGGGCACCCATCTGTATAGAAAAGTTAGGAATATCTAAAAAATGCCAGGTTTATTACCTCATGAACTGTCAAAGACAGAAGCAAGGCAAAGCACTCATGCAATATTTATCTATCCACACTGTACTATATTTTTTTTTCTAAAATCTTCCTGTGTTCTCTGGGGCAGACACAATGTTGCTGTAGAAGTACAGAGCTTAGTGTTCAGCTTCTTTGTGTACTTCATATACAGACATTGAAAATGCTCAGTTAGCTCTCAAAATCATAGTATAGACATAAAATGAGCTGTGAAATGAAAATAAATGCTGGATTTGTTTGGCGTGGCTTCTGCATTTTGACTTTAGGGTTAACCTTTTCATAATTTTAGCTCCAACTGTGAGAAAAAGAGACTTTTTTTTCTAAAATGCAGGCTGAAATTCACGTCAGAATCTGAGGAAGTGCCAGGAAAAACAGTAAGAAGTGAGAACCATAAAAATAGGTGAAAATATTTCCTCCTTTATTTATTGTGGGTTTGAAATAATGAGGAATGTACACAGATAAACGTAAAACATTTTAAAAGACAGTCCACCTTTACTTTTGGCAATTTCTGTAGTATGCATCTCAGTTATGACCAACTTAAACCAGAGGAATCAAGATGATTCCATGTATATTCTCTTCTAAGAGGAAATTCTCTGTATCCTTTTCTCTCTCCATCCCTAGAAACCCAGCCCAAGGCAATGCTTTCTGCTCTGAAAGTCTTCTGTGCCAAAAGACCCAAGTCCCCCAGTCCTCCTCTGGTGGGTATTTCTCTTTTCCCTGCCACAGAGGGAAATGTTCCTGTGACTGGTGTTGGTCCAAATCGGGATGGTGTGGGTGCCTCCTGCTCCCACAGGCCTTGTCCCCCTTCCCTGATGAAAGAGAAAGATCCCCCTGCCAAGCTGAATTGTCTTTGCTTGTTATCTGAGAGGTGGAAACCCTGCTCTGGTGGCATGAAAAGGGCACGGATGGCCTGCTGCAGGCACGGAAGCTTTGCTCTCTCAAATAATCCCCAACACAGGGGATCAGAACTGATCAAGGAGAAGACATCCCCACTGCAGCCTCCACCGTCACTTGCCTGAAGACATGAGGAAGCAGCAAGATTCTGATGGTATATAGTTGGAGAGGACATGAGCACAGTGGATTTGGGGGTGGAGATGTCCTGGCCCCAAAGCAGACCCTGGATGTCTGCACTGGTCTCTCCAGGCAGGCAGCTGCCCTTTGGCATGAGGATGAAGAGGGTGTCATGGGACCCTGGTGCTGCCTCATGGTAGCCCAGGGTGGGCAGTGCTGCCCAAACATGTCACATTGTGTTGGACTGAAGTGGGATTTAACTGGTAGCTGGCAAATACCAAGGTTCAGCTTCAGCATCAGATGTTTTCCATAGTGTTTTGTGCCTCCTTCCCATGCTCTGCTGGCCTCAGCAGCACCCAGCACATGTGGGAGGGGGATTCTTGTCATGAGCTGACCATTGCTCTGTGCTTCCTATGGGATTGCTCCCACTCTTGCATGGCTGCTGGACCTTCAGGAGCGCCAATGTAAATCCAACACAGGATCTTTTTTCCCTTTCCACCCTTGTGTTATCATCATTAGCCACTAAAAATCAATAAACGTTTTAAAACAAAATTCAGCAGGAGATAGGCCAGAATGTGTTGTGATAAAGTCTCTAATTGTTTTGTGAACGTTTCTTGTGAAAGCTGGGGTTGGAAGATGAGAAACAGCAGAATATCAGGAATGAACAGCTGTGTCTTTGTAATGCAAAAGTCAGGAGGAGAACAAGCCTCTTTTACATTTCCAAACAGAGCTATTACAAGACATGGGTGCTCTTCACTTTCTTTTTTACAGATGCTTTGTAGCACGCGGTCCCTTTTTTTCCCAAAACCCCATTTGGTTTAAAAAACCACAAACAATAAAACCTCATATGAATAAATTCCTTTTAGAACAGCTATCATTTTTCAAGTGTTAGGAAAAATCGTATTAGGAAATATTTTCTGTAACATATTTTCTTTCATTAATTTGTGTTTTCTCTTGAAATTAAAAGCATTACAGGCTTTTTATTTGAACTTTCAAGGTTTAGTTCAAAAGCATGGCTAGCAGGTCATGGGAGGTGATTCTCCCCCTCTACTCTACTCTCATGAGACTCCACATGGAGCACTGTGTTTAGTTCTGGAGCCCCCAACAGAAGAAGGACATGGAGATGTTGGAGCAAGTCCAGAGGAGGGCCACAAAGATGATCAAAGGGCCAGAGCACCTCTCCTATGAAGACAGGCTGAGAGAGTTGGGGTTGTTCAGCCTGGAGAAGAGGAGACTCCAGGGAGACCTTTCAGTACAAGAAGGGGGCTTACAGGAAAGCTGGGGAGAGTCTTTTTGCAAGGGCATGTAGAGAAAGGACAAGGGGGTAGTGGCTCAAAACTGAAGGAGTGGAGATTTAGGTTAGACATTAGGAAGAAATTCCTCACTATGAGGGTGATAAGACTGGATGAGACACTTGCCCAGAGAAGCTCTGCATGCCCCATAGGGGAAGTTTTCAACATCAGGTTGGATGGGACTTTGTGTAACCTGGTCTAGTGGAAGGTGTCTCTTTCTCTGTCAGGGGGGCTGGAACTAGATGATCTTTAAGGTCCGTTTTAATCCAAGCTGTTCTATGATCCTATGACATTGTCTTACTTCCCACTTTGTCCAACTCAACTGTTTCACTCTCCTGGTTTGAGCCAGAACAGAACCTGTTTTCTGTCTAGTAATTTTACTTTTCAGTTAAGTCTCCTCTAAGTAGCTGCACTTGCTGAAATTAAATACATTTTTCAGTCAGTATCTGCTTCTAAGACTGGTAACGCTCAGTGTTTAGTTACTGCTGGAGAACGGTGTGCAGAATCAGGGCCACTGCTTGGGTCTGCAAAACATCTTATTCTCTGGAAACTAAAGGTAGTAAAGGGAGTCACACCTATGGCCCTCCTGGGGGAGGAGGTGACCGAACAGGTGACCTAAATTGACCAGAGTATTCCATCCCTCATGCATCATATGCAGTAGAAATCTGAGGCATCATGAGGGCCAAGCTCTCTTCACCTATGACCAGCATCCTGAGAGGGCTCCGTTTGTTCATCTGCCTTCGATCTTGATCCATGCGTTCCTGAATCCATGTGCTCCTGCATCTAGCTCCCTTCTGCTACAGAGACCAGGAGCCCAGTCCAGGACTTTCCCACAGCTTCCCTGCAGCCTCGGTGGTGATGCGAATGTTGCTGGGGCTGGGGGCATGATAGTGGTTTTGTGTATATCTGCATATGTTTATACA